AGTTTAGTATTCTTTGTTGCCGTTATAATTTAGATTAGTCGATAGAATTATAGTATACTTGAGTATAGTGCTTAAAGCCTGTAACGAAACAGATCAGTTTAGTAAGTAGAGCTGCCTGTTTTTAGTGAGTATACTGATTCCAATCAGTCTGATTAAAAATAGGAAGAAAACGTGCTTTTGATTCTGTTGCTGTCATATATTATAAGATAGCTTTAAGTACGTTTGGTGCTTATTTGTAAACAGTACGTCTTACACTGTTCATGTTTCAAGACCACTCTCATTAAACAATTTCCCCAGCAATAACATCGGTAGTAGGATAACTAAGTGTCTGAGCTTTTATTTGCCTGCAGAAGAGCAGTATACAGTCTTAGAAGATGAGTGTTCTGTGTCTGAATTAAATTCAGCTGGCTGTGGACAAATGTTTAGAATCTTTTTGACAACTGAGACTTTTAGTTTATCAGACACTAACTCTGCTTGTATTTCTTCCTGTTAAACTAGACGCAGATGCATGGGAATACTTAAATGAGAGCGAAATAGTAAAAGCATTGCAATATGGTACTAAGTCCATGTTATCTTTTGCACAAGTAATAGTAGCTGACCTGATCTAATATTCATGAACTCAAGGCAAATCACAACTGCATAAATTCTTTGCTAAATAAACGTAATTTGGTTATTTATCCATTCCACATTTCTGACTAAATTCATTACAATTTCTCATTTAGAATGCAACAGGAGTGAGTCTTCACAGATCCTAAGAACTGTTTCGCCCTTAGAACTATTGTCCTATGAAACTGTTTACGGAAGACCCAACTAACAGCAGATTACAAAAACGATGCTGGGCGTCCATTTTAGTCTCACAACAACTTCCAGTACTTTCTGAGTTACTTCTTTTGCCCTTTCGTTTGGAAAAAAACAACAAAGACTGCAGCCTTACACTATCAGTGCAACTTTTAAACGGGAACTTTGTTCAAACCTTTGTTTAATATTCGATTCTTAGTGAAAAATCCTGGATAAATTTTTAAATCCAATGCTACCTTGTTTTATCTACTTAATCGTTGCAAGAAACTTGTGATATACGGACCTCTAGTTCATATGTAGTAAATTTAAGTGATTTAGTACACATCTTCGTCATTTTTTTGAGAAACCTACAGACTCGAGTCCTCTCATAACTTATTCTAACCACCATGAGTTGTCACGGCAGCTGATGGATGGATACGCCTTACACATCCTAACCGTACCTGCGTCTAATCTTATATCTCCTTATTCAGATGCCATATGATAAGAAAGCAATGCCCCTACCCGCACTAATGGAACACTAGTAACTCAAGGGCATCCTGCATGGTACCTTACATTGGTCTACGCACTTGTTTAGCTCTTTAGTGAGAATATTACTGCAGTGCTGCTAAAAATCCCATGAACCCCCCTATCTCCATCAAAACCAATAAGCCTGTATTTGCTGCATATAGCAATTTTATTTTTCAGAACTAAGATATAACAGTTAGAATTGGAGTAAAATGGCAGTATATAGCAGATGCACATGGTATATGTTTTCATCGATTAACTGAAATAGAGAATATGGATATTAGCTTAACAGGCTTATTTAGAAAGACTGGTGTCTACTTTGAACTTACTGCATGAGAAAGTTATACTGGAACTACGAATAATGTAGGAATTTAGTCAACCAGGGATTACGAAGCACTCAAACTGGAAGACAGTTGTCCAAAAATAATTCGAATATGAAGGTGAAAATTTGCAGGTACTTTCCATCATAAGGGTGAACATATTAGGTACCGGTTGACATCATACCGTAAAAAAACACAAATTGACGAGTGGTGAAACATGATCTGTAAAAAAGTGAGCTTAATAGTAGTTAATTACCTTTTCAATCCTTGATCATGACCCTTCGGCTTCCTTCTTTGCCCAAAACAGCAAACACTCACTACACACTGATGGCAGATTTCCGGCTTTTCAATGTTAAGCCTGCTTTAACGCACGACGTAATGAGTACAACCCCTCTATTACTGCTATATGGCATATTTTTCATAACAAACCCTCTGTAATAGATTGGTAGCATCTGTGACTTCATTTATAGTTATCGAGATTCTGAGTCCTTTCGAAAACAATACTGATATCCCCTACTGCTGGGCATTCTGTATTAGTTTGACTCGTTGGTGGGATAGTGTTGTCCATAGTACTGAAGAAAATTGGAAACCGGAGATCGTTTCCTTCCATTTTGCCGATAACATCATAAAGGACAGTTAGGAACGAACATGCGGACAGTTAGAGCCACAGGCGGCAGCAACAATTATTTTGGCTAAAAAATGAGCTTCGACTTTGGGTATCTAGAAAACAAGTCAAAACAAAACAGATTACCATTTAAAACATAAGACTAGCCAGCTTGGCTGAAGAAATACATTGACTTCAGTAACAGCAGCCGAAACCCAGAAAACAAAGCAAAATGAGGAAAACTTTTGCTCCAACATTCAGTGTATTACATTAACTTCTGCATTTTAGCACACTGAAACATTAAATTCTGTAGCTACACAAAAGAAATACCTGAAAAAAGCACAGAACGAAAAAAGCACAGAACGAAAAAAGCCTACCGCCATTGCTTACAAAGATGGCGGATATAATAATTCACGCCACATTCTGATTGGTTGTTAAGCAGAAGGCCAGATTTACGAAATTGAGTTGCGTTTAATAGCAGCCAGAAAAACAGTCATCGAGCGTACAAGTAAAAAGGATAAACAAACATGGATAATACTCACCCTGATGATTTCATCTGATATACTTGTGAAAAGCACCAAAACCAGTCACCTAATAAATTTTCACAGATTTAAATCATGAGTCAGTTGAAGCTAGACCACCATTGAAAACCTGGAAGCACTGGACGGCCGTTTCGTCCTAGTATGGGACTCCTCAGCAGTGCGCATCCACGATCCCGCACCACGCGGGGCTCGAACCCAGGACCTACTGGCTTCGCGCGCGAGCACTTAACCATTAGACCACTGAGCCGGCATCCAACGGTGTTAATGTCTAACTTCAACCAATCCACGAAGTTGCGCCACCATATATATATCACTGAAGACAATGGTATATGGTGGCGCAACTTCGTGGATTGGTTGAAGTTAGACATTAACACCGTTGGATGCCAGCTCAGTGGTCTAATGGTTAAGTGCTCGCGCGCGAAGCCAGTAGGTCCTGGGTTCGAGCCCCGCGTGGTGCGGGATCGTGGATGCGCACTGCTGAGGAGTCCCATACTAGGACGAAACGGCCGTCCAGTGCTTCCAGGTTTTCAATGGTGGTCTAGCTTCAACTGACTCATGATTTAAATCTGTGAAAATTTCTAAAATCTCCACAAACCCCTTCTGACCTAATAAATTGGCAGATATGGAAATATTTTCGTTCCGGCAGATAACCTTCGTTTTATCTGTAGAAGAAACCAAACTAGTGGTCGATTGAGTCTTTATTCAGACTGTGGGAAAGAACAGTTGAAGTGTGAGGTTATCTTTTTTCAAATCCATAAACTTACCAGCACCCTGTGAAAACATAATAGGAAATACATTAGTCACATAAAATAAGTGAATAGACGAATATTTGATCTATGGTATCCTGACACTGCCAAGATTCATTCGGTCAATTTTTAACCAATCAACCTGATTTGTTAGAATATCAAGGATGTAGAATGCTTATTAACGCTACTTTTCAAACATTTTTATTATACAAGGATAGCAAAGCCAATTAAAGTGAACTTCCAGAATGAGTGAATGGGGTGACATTTTTGAACAATGATCTGTAGTGACTCACGTTTATCACGAGAACACGACTGGTTTAATAACAACAAGTATTATTATAACCAACTGTACCAGTGTTTGTTTTAACGTGCTTTTGTTTGACTGTGCTAATGACAGCTACTTTGTGCTTCCATTCTTATACACACACTTTGATTGTAACTTCGCGCGAATTCGGTTACCTTCTGTAACCAAGGTTGTATCCTGGCACGATCTCGGTATCCTTTCGATGCCACGAGATCGCCAGCTAATAAACCTCGACTTGGTCCATTAACTGTCTTCTGATATTCGGCTTCTCGGGGATTTTATGGAGTCATTTGGAACGAGCTTCTTACGCCTTCTGATTCGCTTGGCACGTGTTTCTTGGTAGCGGTGTTCATAGTTAATCTCAACTCGACGCCACGCTACAGATCTATGAGTCAGAGTGTATATGACCTATACTTACTAGTTATTGAAATAGATGCCCAGAACGTCGTGACGAAACGTGATCTAATGCGAGTGCATGATGGAGCACTTTCAGTACACAATATTCCTGTAGGTTTATCGTATCTAGCCGATTCATCCATCATTCATGTTACTGAATATCGAACAGTTTGCCGGTCCTCATCATGGCCAAAGTCCATCAATTAATTTCACCACATAAACTAGCCCATGCAACTGTTGTCGCACTATATTTGTTATATCTACTCTTACTGATATGTTTCTGTAATAATTCTGTTTAGTTGAATGTTCATTAAAGTAGGCAGACTACTGTACATTACGAAAGGGTAATACACATTAGATAATAACCGTAAGGTTTGACTTCGATGTAAGCTAGGTCACGTCATTCTGTCAATCCTCGACAGCCCAACTGCGTTGATGAACTTCAGGCCTATTAGATTTAATGGAGTCGATACCAGTGTCGAATGATTCGAAACTATATTTTACGGAAGTATTTACCACCGCAGGAATAAGTAGAAATGCAAGTGGGATCGTTTGAAAGAAATATAAAGTGAATTCAGCATCTAAAAGGTTTGATATGTTTTGAGGAACTGTCGTACGACTAAACTAATCTATAGAATTTACAGACGCAGAGACAAGTATTAAAATTAGATATTCCTTCGATACAGAGGATTTCACAACCTCATGGCTTCTTATCTGAATTAATCAGCAATTCGTCCAACATATTCAAATGGCTTTATAAAATTCACACGTTTGTAATCAGGATAAGGCTGATTGTGTTAACTAAAACAGATTGCGGGAGTTTGCATTTAGACGCGGCATCAAGGTCATGGGATTTGGATTTTAGTGCTTCAACATAGTAAGTATGGCATTCAAGATGAAAGTAAATCTATTACTTTTTCAAACGAACAATGTGCCAGACTCAGGGATAAAGAGCATTTTTTGTGACAGCCAACTGTAGCTACATAGTTATCAAGGCAACTAGATTTGCGTAATAAAAGCTATTAGTGGTGAAATCATAATATACTGACGGTCCTGAGTTACCCATCAGGGATTACGATAATTTGTGCTACTACAGACGGAGTAAATGTCGGCAAAATTTCTTCTGAATGCTTGGTATTACTGAGAATACTTGTTATGCACCAGTAAGTGAATTTAAAATGGTGCTTGAGCTGATTCATAAAACATGCCTTATCCTAAGCCAGAATATGTGGTTAAATACTTGGTGTGATTTGTTGCGTGGTCAGGAGTTTGTCGTGAGACTAGATAATATCCTCTCACTCTAATCCCCGAGCTCCCAAGTTTGGGGAAATGACACAAAAACCCCATAGTTTACTACAGCGGCTTCCTCAAAATGGGTCAAATTTTCCCCAAAATTGGGAGCTGGGATCTTTACTTTTAGTTCCAATCTCAAGTTTCGTAAATTTGTAAACGGAGGAGTAATAAAAGTATTGCACTTTCGCTGGTGCTAGTTCGTGAAGAAAGCCTTAATACTAACTTGTCAAATCGTCTCAGAACACCGGCTTAACCACGAATACATGAATGCAACCCTTCTGCTCAATCGCAGGCATTAGTGGGCGTCAAAAACTATGGTGTGTTTATGCCATTTCACATTACTAACTCGATTACTTATTTATCAAATTTAACTTTTGTTCTTTTACTTCGGAAAATCGACATTTAAGGACCGATTATCAGGATCAAACCTATTATTGCGCTTTTAGTAGTTTTTGCTGTTAATCTTCTGTAACTAGGTATCGTTTTATGGTTGGTTGACAGACAAGTCAAAGTCAGTCAGTCGGGTACAACGTAGGATAAGCCATATGTGGGCATCTGTTCAAGTTACCATACCTCAAATATGATGAAATGTCGATATTTAGATTTCCTCAAACACGTTTCAGCGCGAAATCGACTCCAGTTAACTGGACTCCACACTATGTATGTGTTTTAGGTTATCTCCACATTTTGGAAGGTGTGTCATCCTCAGGAAAAACTGTGGAGCTAGTCACAACTACCCTTCTCGGAAAAGTTTCTGTACGTACCTTATATAGTCATTCTTCCGTGGATTACTGTAAAAGTGTATTTCATAAACTTCAATTTCTGTTTTATCATACATGTATTCACAAGACCATATCATAGTTACTAGTACAACCTCCTTTTATAACTCGTTACTATCCTTTCCCTTCTCTGTAATGGCCTATTTAACAATTATCCATTGGGTTATGTTGTGGAATTACGTTTAGAAATAGGGAGAACGATCGTAGCTATTGAGTTACTGTTCAGTTGCAGTAAATAGTTTATCTACTGATTCCTGTTCATCGATTTCTCAGTTTCAGTCTATCACTGCTTTGTGCATTTGCTCAAACCTAACAGGAATTTTGCTAAAATTTCAGAGCACACCTTTATTACAGTAAACCAAGCACCGTCCATTCTATCGGGACAAAAAAGGTTCCGCTTCTATACTTGTTTTTTTTAGTATAGACAGACATTGATGACATATGATTTGACGCTACTGTTCCAACCTCCAAGCCACAACGCGAATAAAAAGATGAGAAAAAGAGGGTCGTAAATAGTGTCCATTTTAGTGGAAAATAGAATATGAAGAGTGAAGTTTAGTATCACTGAATGAAACTGAAGCACAGAAGGTCTGGAATGACATGTTACTCAGGCTTTTGGATTGAAGAAATAGTATATGCTACCATATCACTTTAATAGATTTAAAGTCTGCAATGATAGTGATTATTCCATGAATATCAATAACAATTTGCACTTATGTACATTAGGTATTACAAGCTGTTATTTCAGAAACTGCTGACTCCTCAAAACCGTCTTGTAACTCCGAAAACGTTTCCAAATGTTATAGAGCAGAGTAGTTTGTAGTTTCTCTAACATCAACCATTTCCAAACTACGTGAATGGAAATAGAACCTTGACTCTAATTGAAGTTCAAAAAGCTATAGCTAGTCTTGAGTGCTGTTGTAATTAAGAGGGCGGTTATCACTTCCCGGTTGCCCACATCGTGGAGGGGTTCTTCTGAAGGTACCTGAAAAATTAGATTAAAGGCGGTCTCAGAGACCTGGGGGCGTGACCGCACTGCCCAAGGGACAACTGCTTGAGGTCGTTCATACACGACCTTTATGTGGGTAATTTTCGTGTTAGCTCCGTAGACAAGCCCGAACACCACGTCAAGGTCCCAACAACGGTCGGGTATAGCTAATCTGAAACGAGGATGAGCAGCTGGTCCAGTTGAATTAACTCCAGAAGTCTTTAAGGGTAGTGGTTTAGTTTTAGCGACTAGGTTGACCAATATTTTATCTAAAATCTGGGAAATGAACGTAATCCCATCTGACTGGTCGTAATCATTGATTGTCCCAATACATAAGAAAGGATCTAAATCATCTTGTTATGACCATAGAGGGATTAGTTTGTCCAATACAACGTCTAAAATATTAACCTCAATAATTGTCGGACGTCTAACAAATACTCGTGAACTACAAACACGAGAAAACCAGACCAACTTGAAGCCGATCGTGGCTACATCGACCACATGTTTACCAGTTGTCGAGTCTTAAAACACAGGCATGCTTATCGGTTTCCGACAATGATAGTTTTTCTTGACTTAATAGCAGCATTTGACTCCGTAGACTGAGAGGTTCTGTGCAAGTGTCTGCATTGAAAGATGTACCTCAGAAGTACAGAAACTTTGAGAAAGCTGTTTGCTCGAACACTACCAGTCGAGTCAGAGCTTATGGCGAACTGTCATCTGATTTTGCAACCTCAAATGGTGTCCGTCAAGTCTGTACACTATTTCCATTTTCGTTTAACTTCATCACTAAAAATAACGTCGTGGTCTGAATTTTCGTGAATTGATATCCTACCAGGAGGTCCACTTATTGACTTAGGATACACAGATGACATAATCCTGTATAATGAAGACGCTGATAAAATGCAGTCTTTTGGTAGCACTGAGTAACAATGCCCAGATGTTTGGGATGCGTTTCTCCCACTCTAACTACAAGTTGTTGCTTCAGGACTGGCCTGCGTAAGCACCCGAACTAAAGATAGGGGGTGAAGTAGTTGGACGCGTCTATAGCTTCACTTATCTTGGAAGTCTGGTCAACCCTAATGGATTGTTGTCTGACGAAATCTCTGTACGGATCTAGAAAGCCCGTTTGGCTTTTGCCAACTTAAGTTACCTATGGCGAAGGCGAGATATCCATCTATCAATTAAGAGACGAGTATATTGTGCAGCAGTTCGTTCTGTTTTACTTTACAGATGCGAAAGGTGGCCATTAAGAATAAGAGATACTCGTAAGTTACTAGTATTTAATTACAGATGTCTTAGAAATATCGCTTGCATCTACTTGGATCACCTAGTAAGTAATGGTGAGGTTAGACTCAGAGTATCAGGGAATGATGGTAGATCAGTTGATGAGGTTGTAAATCTTCATTGACTGGTATGGTTGGGCCATGTGTTGCGCATGTCCAACCACCGACTAGCACGTAGCGCAATGCTGGCTAGTGCTGGAGATGGTTAGAAGAAAGTTAGGGGCGACCGAACCAAAACGTGGCATCGGTGCTTGAAGTCACTAACTTCTAGTCTTAGCCATGTTGGTAGGTGCAGACTACTTGGTTGGGGTCCGCAAGACTATCGGAAGCAATGGTTGGAGACTCTGGGTGTCATGGCTCAGAATCAACCACAATGGTGTAGGTGTAAACACTGTATTCCCTTAAACCGTGAGACTGAAAGTGCTTTGTGTTTCCTTCTACGAGGAAATTTCTTATTCCATGTATCATCTACGTATATGCAATCTTTTTTCGTTATATTACTACCATTAAAGTAACTGGAATAGGAGGAAGGTTGATTATGAATACAGTGGTCTTGAGTGCTGTTAGAGGTATGAGGGCGGTTTTCACTTCCCGGTTGCCCACACCGTGGAAGGGTTCTTCTGGAGGTACCTGAAAAGGAATTTGGATTAAAGGTGGTCTTAGTGACCTGAGAGCGTGGCCGCAGTGCCCAAGGGACAACTGCTTGAGGTCGGTCACACACGACCTTGTTATGGGTAATTTTTGTGTTAGCTCCGTACTTATTGAGACCTTACCGCCGGAGACGGATATCCGTGGGATAAGGCGAGGTGTGCATTTTTAGGGTCGACCTTTTCTAACCCCACCCCTCCTTGTGGGAAGGCAGCATCGCTGTCATGCTGGTTGTCTGAAGGAAACACCTTACTGCTGTCACACCTCTGTACAGTCAGCAGTACGACTTCGCCTTCGGACCTTGGGTTTGTTGCTTTTAGTCTTACCGCTCTTCAACCGACCTGCCTGACATGGTAGGACCTTGAGGAACGGTTGTTCCAGCCAGTATAGCTCGGTTGCTTCATCACGATAAGCAAGCCCGACCACCACGTCAAGGTAGCAACAACGGTCGGGATTAAAGTAACTGCTTCGGTGGAATTAATTTTCATCTTGTTGTGCTGGGGTACGATAACTTGGATCTATGCACATGTGTACCTGGTCTTATGTTGTACATGACCGACTGACCTCTAACTTTACAAACTTGATTGTTTTCAATTCTGACGTGTGTGGGTCATTTTGGAACTTGCGATGAATCTTAATAACTCATATGTTTTATATTTCCACCAACACATCTCTTTTAAGATTGTATTCGAAGCTCCCTGACTAATTGACCTTTCCCAATCTATAAAAATAAACTTGAGATAGCTTTCGAGCTTTTGTGTTAGTTTTATTCGACCAGTTAGATTGTAAACACGAATGTTCTCAATTCATCCATTTTAGGATGTCAATTAGAATTAGTCATACCCTTGAAGTAAAAACACATCATAATTCATACGATTTCGATCTTGATTTTCCCCACTGTTCTTTTGGCAAGTTATATTTTTTAAATATTTTTAGAACGAACAAATTTTAATATTCACCGTATAACCGGTGCACAATAATGTCTCGTTGCAATCAGTTACAATAATGTCAGATGTTGATGCATACCCAAGGTTTTCAGGTCGTGCACTGAGGAATGATTTGTCAGATAAACTACTTAGTCCATCTAAACAGGTAAAAAGATGGAAAAAATTTGAGAAACAATTCATGTAGGTTAGGTTCCGCTCGAATGTAATCACAAATTCCTCTGATCATCTAGCTGACAAAGTGTCCTGGGATTTTACTGAATCTGGTCTCGATGAATTAACCAATGTAACATCATCTTTTGGTAATTCGGACTCCATTTCCATATTGCAAAATCGTTACCCACCAGATAATGCGCCAACACAAAGCCATTTTGATTCTAAACAAACATTTTATGATGTATCTGAGGCGATGGAAAATAATGTCAATAAAATGTGTGATCTTTCTGTGAATACTGAATGTCACCTTAAAGGCAGCTGTCAAAGTGTTTCATTCCTCAAAACTACAGATCACCTCCCTCAGCAGCCGTTATCATCCTGTGGTCCTGTATATAGTCCCAAAAACTGTCCTTCAGATGCGAAAAGTTCAAGTGACCAAGATCCCAGAGAACTACCCAGCTATCCTTTTACGCATTCCGAAAGTCTGTCTTTGTCAAGTTTGACAGATTTAAGTTGTCTGGATCCAGATACAACTTCTTTTTGCGATCCAGGCGAGGCGACTCTAAATTTTTCACAACCAGTCTTCAATACAACGAAAGCCTTAGAACGGGAGATTAAATCCCTGTCTAAGAAAGTCAACAGTGCTTCCAAAGAGGTAAGTTTATTGTTTTATGCTCTAGTTAATTGTAATGTAATTGTATAAAGTAGCCTGCTGATCTTATGAAATTAGATAAGTATAATAGTTTCGGTCGATTAGAATGTTACTTAATTTATACCGTTAAAATGGTAACAAAATGATCCACTCTGCCTATTTCTGATTCATATGTACCTTTAGAATAGCTCTTCCATATTAGTATGACTAATATTAATCAGGCTTGAATAACTCCAAAGGAATTATCCATCTGTAACTTATATCTCAATGATTGGTTTTTTTCATTCCAGGTATTCTTTGATTGACACAGTGTTCAGAAATCTCATACTAAGTATTAAGACAAGTTTAATGTATTCTTCTAAACATCGTGTGAAACTAAAACAGTGACTAAGTTTTAGTGCAAATATCCGTTGGTGTTTGCCTAATTACGGGAATTACAAACCCAATGAAATATTTCCTTGTCCATCAATATTCTAGGAATACTACATGCCTTATTCTAATATTCACTAGTAAAAAATTCCAATCGGAATAAAGTTTCAAGCGATTATGATCGGTCCTTTATGATCCCCTACGTTTGAAGCATCGCTAACCAACAGTGAGATTGTCAACTGAACAATGTTAGGATGAAATGGCAGGTTATTGGACAAAATTAAACCAGTTTTAACTGTCTTAACTCGTCCCTTTACCATGGTTTAAGGTTCAAAGTAACACATAGTAAGTATGCTATTGAGGATACCACAAATAGTAGTCGAACTGAGACTTGACACTAATCTACATTTTATGGCAATCTGGTTGAGTTTTCTAATCATGTAGCCTCTTTATTTTCCTATATTAAAAGCTTAATTTTTGGTTACTGTTCACTTTCTTTTTTGAAGATAATTTCTCGTTGACTATTGGCTTATTTATTATCATTATTATTGCCCAGAAAGAAAGCTCGGTATAATAAGGTACCAAACATGTGTTCTATACAAAACGAAATGTGTTGTGAAGAGATAAAATGTGATAAATCATGCTAAAAAAAATAAGTGAATCGAAATAATAATATATATTAAAAAAGTGCAATCAGAGCTTAAAGATAATCAAGATAGATTTCCTTTAGCGTTAGCATATGCATTTTACCGTTTATGAAGATATACTATAGAAAATCATAGCATAATTCCCACTGAAATCTATAGTTTTTAGGATCCGACCCAAAAATTCTTAGTGAGTGCTTATTAAAGGAACTGTTCCATTCCAGCTTACCATGTCGTAATCTGAACATCTCCACTTTTCTACTCATTCTAAAAGTTGACAAGTAATACACAATATGGAATAACATATGTAAAGTATGACCAATCAACGAAAGCTGGTATTATGAGATGTTATCACCTACAGAATTGTCATGTCCAATGTACCTGAACAGGTGTTTCAAGACCTCAGTATTATTTATACAATTTGCCCACTAGATCTAACCCATCTTATATGCTGTAGTACGGCTTGGTGTACATAATCTTCTCTGCCTCTTGAAATCCTCCTACAAACCTGAGTATTTATAGTTCTTCCCACTCGTTACCTTCGCACACTGAAAGTGTTCCTTAAATGTTGCATGAATATCGAAAAAACTTGACACTTAACCAATCATATACATCATTTCTAAAATCCACACCAAATGAGTGATAAAACAGTATTTGTTGTCATACGTCCACTTTTTCACTATCATCTTTACAAAACGTTACTGAGTAGAGGACATCATGTTTGGGCAAAAATTTGTCCTCCTTCCTTCCGGAGATATCAAAACATATTAGGAATTATGAAACTGTTTTAATATTAATTCACTGATAATACACTAGCGTAATAGTTTGTAGGTTCAAAAATTTAATTTTGCCTACTAAAATTCATCGTGATGCTAACCTTTGAATAAAAAACAGTACAGTGTATTTTTCTCTACCATTAAGCATCCCGCTGACGAAATACGCTTAGAAGCGGAACGTATTGTAAATGAAGCTTGTAATACTCTTCCCGCTGGAGATAACTCTACCAATCCTTTAATTCTCAATCCAAGAATCACTGTTAATATACCTGAAAATGTATCTATGTATGAAAATCTTATAGATTTGACAGTGGATGAGTCGGAAATAGTACGTTTGGAGCGTCAACGAATTGCAGCCCAGCGTAAACGGTTGATCGAAGCGAATAGGAAACAAAATATCAAAGTTGTAAGTTTTATATTTTCACCTCACTATTTTTTTAAATAAGGCCAGTTTTAGCGTGTTTCGTATTGATAATATTGTTGTTAATGTGTGTAAGCTATTCAGCTCTAAGGGTGGTGGTTAGTCTTAAACTGAGTCGCTTAATAATGACAACTTCTCATGACTTTGCTGGAATAAAAATCTAACCCGCCAAAATTAATTAAAGAATCTTAACTTATTTCAGTCAGCCAGTAACAACGTAGAACTTCGTACGTACGTACGTACGTACATCAGTTCGAGTTGCCATACCACATTAGCACAGAGATGCAGTTGTCGATTCAAATCCCATAGTGGTAGAGATAGTAAGAGTATAAGCAGTAATCGGAAAGATTAGCGTTTGATGATGTTATTCAAGGAGTATAATACAGTGAAATAAATTTGGAAAGAGGAAAAAAGGGACATGAAGAATTCAGAAGATTAGAATTTTGGAGAACACAAAGAGTGGGTGCACCTGCGCCATTGCAAACGATTTTGAGCCTTGTCATTCAGGGTCTCTAACCATCGGTTGCTACCATCTCGCGGTCCCCAACCAGGTAGTCTACACCTACCAACATGACTCAGTCCACTTGTCAGTGACTTCATGGACTTGTACCATGTTTTGGTCTGGCCGCCCCTAGCTTTCTTTCAACCTACTCCTACACCATTGAACATTGCACGTCGGGACAGTCGGTGGTTGAGCATACGTAACACGTGTCCCAGCCAATGTCAACTGATAAAGTTTCACTACTTCAATTGATTTGCCATCTTTACCTAGTGCCCGTTTTCTAACAACTGCATTACTTGCTCGATGGTCCCTGGATATACGAGCAATATTTCGAAGACACCTATGATCAAATACTAGTAACCTACGAATATCATCTACTCTTACCGGCCATGTTTCACTGCCATAAAGTAGGACGGAACGAACTGCTGTGCAGTAAACACGTCCTTTGGTTGATAGACGGATATGTCGCCTATGCCATAAATGACGCAAGTTGGCAAAAGCTAGTCAAGCCTTCTGTATCTGTGCTGAGATTTCGTCACACACCAGACCACAAGGGCTGATGAGACTTCCCAGATAAGTGAAGCGGTCGACACGCTCAGTTCCTTCATTCCCTATCATTAGTTCGGGTGTCAAAGCAACATATTGCATTTCGAGGAGGAGAATCGCATGCCGAACATGCTTGCATTGTTGCTTAGAGTGGTCAGAAGACTGCATTTTGTCAGTATCTTCACCAAATAGAACTATATCATCGACATATTCTATGTCAAAAAGTGAATCTCTCGGTAGAAGTTCAACCTCTGAAAATTTAGGTGAGGAAATTGTTATCTCTAAAAGTACATCAACGACAAAGTTAAACAAGAATGGAGAGAGTGGACAGCCCTGACGAACACCACTTGAGTTAACCAATCCTGATGACAGTTCGCCATAAGCTCTCACTCGACCAGTTGTGTTCGAGTAGAGAGCCTTTACAAGGTTAATGTACTTCTTTGGTACTCGTTTCAGTGACAAACATCACCATAGGGTCTCACGATCAACAGAGTCAAGTACCGCCTTAAGGTCGAGAAATACTACCATTGTGGGGCGTCTGAACGTGTGTTTGTGTTCTAAAACCTGACGTAGTGTGAATATGTGGTCTATACAACCACCTCCAGGTCGAAAACCAGCCTGGTTTTCTCTAGTCTGCTCTTCACGAGCTTTAGTTAGGCGTCGATGTATTATTGAAGCTAATGTTTTAGACACTATATTAGTCAAACTGATTCCTCTGTGATTGTCACAAGAGGACTTTTGTCCTTTCTTATAGACCGGCGCAATCAGTGATTGAGACCAATCAGATAGGATTACGTCCAGTTCCCAAATTCTACCTAAGACCTCGGTTAATCTCATTGCTAATACTGGACCACCATCCTTAAAAATCTCAGGAGTAAACCTGTCAGGGCCTGCTGCTCTCTCTCACTTCAGATTTCCTATAGCTTTTTCAACTTCGTAAAGATTCGGAGGACTCAAATTAACTTGCCATTCAGGTTGACTGGAGATCGCGGGAAACCAAAGTGTGGCTGAAGGCCAGTTGAACTGACCCCTTAAGTGTTCTGCCCGTCTCCTGGATTGAGAATGTATAATATGTCCATCTTTCTCTGACACTGTTTCGCTAACAGTCGGTTTCCTAATAGCGGTTTCCTTAACAAGTCTGAACAATTGTCTGCTATTACCTATTGCCGCTGCCTTTTCTATCTCTTGCTTTCGCTACCCTCCAATGTTCACGATCATTGCGTAGACTTCTTATTAGCTTGCGCTTAAGCTGACTCCGCTCTTCGTTATGTTCAGAACCAGATTGAATGAGTTTTCGAGCATCTATCAGTGCAGTAGATGCTGCTGAGATCCAGTGTTTCTCCCTAACCTTGTGATTTACCGTACTAGCAGATATCACTGCTGTTTCCACAGCTTTTCGGATATCATTCCATGCTGCCTCGGGTTTGACATCACATACATGGCTGCCTAACTATTTTTCTAGTTGTTCCTGAAATATACTCTTAGCTTGACTATCATTAAGTAGGACCCTAAGAGGTTTCCTTACAGTGTCTTTCCTACGTCCAGTAAGACTCAAGCAAATACGCGCTCGCACTAGAGCATGATCTGAATCTAAGCATGTGCTCCAGAATGGGCGATAGTCTTCTATCGAACCCCTCCATTGGTGGCTGATAGCGATGTGATCTATTTGGGTCCAACGTTGGTACGAATTAGGGGGTCGCCATGTCAAAATATGTTTTTCCTTATGCTTAAAGTTAGTATTTGCTAGAAACAGGCAGTTATCTGAGCATAGCTGTAACAGACGGTTACCATTATCTGTTCTTTGGGCCACGACACTACATGGTCCACCCAGGTGTCTTTCCCTTTCGCTTAGTTTACCTACTTGAGCATTAAAGTCACCGGCCACTATTACTACATCCGAGCGCATAGCTTTTCGGAGAAGGTCGGAGAGCTTTCTGTAAAACTCATCTTTTACATCATCTGAGCTGCAGTCAGTGGGAGAATAGGCAGAGTCGACGAAGAGGCAACGACTAGTGTCTCTGTCTCTCTGAGTCCTTACTGTTCCGTTTAGTAGGACAGCGCACAAATGACTGTCTACTGGGATCCACTCTAAGAGAGCTAGTTCTGCCCTAGGACTCAATGCTATACCTACGCCGGTGAGGCCATGAGAAGCAGAATCAGGGCTTCCAGGTACACGAAGTTTGAATCGAGTTGGTTCTTTATTTTTACATGGTGAGGTCAAACGAATGACGCTACTCGAATCCTGTATGCGCGTTTCGGAGACGCAGCACACGTCGATGGCTCGAGATTCTAGAGTCCTGGCTAAGGAAGCCTGTTGTCCTATTTGGCACAGTGTTTAGACGTTAAAAGCTCCTACGTGTAGTTTGGAGCGTTGTTCCAGGAGATCGGGAATCACGTTCCGCGTACTCGAATCGTTTGCCCTAGCGGTGCGAGGTGATAAAGGAACGTGAGAACGGTTAGTCGTGGAGATAAGAGATTTATTAGGAGGTGTAGGAGGGATTTGAATGTGACCAACTAGGTCTCGCGTGTTGTTACATGTATGAGGGCTGGTGTCACTTCCCGGCTGCACACACCGTGGAAGGGTATTTCTTGAGGAACCTGTAAATAAAGGTGGATTAATGTTGGTCTTAACAACCTAGAAGCGTGACCGCAGAGCACAAGGAACAACTGCTTGAGGCCGGTTGCGCACGGCCTTTTCGTGGGAGGCTTTTAATGTGTTAGCTCCGTTCTTCAAAAGGCCTTACCGCCGGAGACGGAAATCCATGAGGTAAGGTGAGGTGTGACATTTTTAGGGTCAACCTTTTCTAACCCCTTCCTTCCTTGTGAGAAGGCAGCATCACTGCAGATACTGGTTGTCCGAAGGTAACACCTTACTGCTGTCACACCCCTCTACAGTCAGCAGTACGACTTCGCCCTCAGACCTTGAGTTGCTGCTTTTAGTCTCACCGTCCTCCAATCAACCTGCCTGGCATGACAGAACCTACAGAATCATATGTTCCAGCCAATATAGCTCGGTTGGGTCATCACGACAGGCAAGCCCGACCACCGCATCAGGGTAGCAGCTACGGTCGGGAATTTAATTTAAGTTAGACGATATCATTTATGTAGGCGGACGGTTACAATTTCCGTCCCTACATTTTGATAGTAAGCACTCGATTATATTTCCTACCAGGCACATTGTTTACAGACTTGATTGTGTCCACTTCCACGTACATAAAGCACATGTCAGAATCATGCACTTGCTAAGTAGTCTTTGCAAAGAAATACGGATTATCAGAGATCTCGTATCCTTTTTTGATTCAGAAATGTCGGTTCTTGTAGTCATGCACTTACCTTATTTTGATCATTTAGCGATAGTCCACTTGACGCGAAATCTTCAGGATTCAGTTTACTCCTAACGTATTTATTGGTTTAGAATAGACACCTCATAAGTAGTTACCACTATCCTATTACTTACGAACCTTTAAAATCCTTTGGTTGTATCTCTTACAATCAAGCATGATTAGCGAGTTTTGTTCAATAAGTAAAAGAGAAAACATGAGTATTTAGCTGTTCTCCAAGTAAAATTTAAATGGCTAAATTTGCAGATGTTGTGACTTGAACTTGGATCGATTTTTACCCCGTGCCAATTATTGTCCTTGACTGAAAGATTAGAAAGCAGTGTATTTATCGATCGGATCAATGACACGTAAAACACGTACGAACGACCTAGAGTCCCGATTGGCCCTGCTTCGCTGTCTAGCTCAGCCAGTTGAGTCCAGAACGCAAGTCTAAGCCCCTGAGATATGAATCATTGTATTTCAAGCATACTCTGTTTATATACCAATCAACCCGACCACAAGGTACCAATAAAATAGAAAATAACATTTGTACAATAATTAGCCAGAAGTGGCTGTGAATGAGGGAGGTAGCGATTAACAGATAGGGAATAATTCATGAGTGGTAAATCGTACAATAGTAGTTCATAGGTCAACATAAAGCTCATAATAAGAGGGGTATGAATATGAACAGTTTAGTTGCATAACAATTATACAATAAAAATATACTCATAATATTGGTCCATAATTGGATCCCAAAAATTACCATTCATTATTCTTATCGGGACACAACAGCAGAGACTTAACCAAATGTTTTAGTCCTTATCAGTGATGTTATTGCAACGAAAAATCAGTCACCAAGACCTATTATTAAACAGACAAACTACGAAATCAACAAACAAATAAAGATTTTGTAGATGAAGATCACAACCGAAAGAATTATCCGAAATATACGAAATTTTTGTTTGGTCGTAGAATGAGATAGTTAAACAACGATGATTACCAACTGCGGAAGTAGTGGATGTTTTGGAAAGAAATGTCAACTCCGATCCATAGGAACGAATCAACAAATAATATCCCAATTAAAAACCCGCCACTTAGACTCAATGTGATCTCAGACTAACCATTCTTTATTTGACTAACAATCACAAAATTGTACCTTTTTCATAAACATGACTAATTTTTCCATTGTTTTATTTCGTGTTCATACTACTGGTCGCTAATAAACTGTTCCATTTCACATTTTCGTATTAGTTGTACTAATTCGTGTTTTCGAAACAGGTATAATTTGTCGGCTGTTCATAGTTTACCCGTTTTGACTATAACTATATCAAGCCTCTGCGTACGGTAGTTTAGGAGTGTGTTTAGAAAATCCATCTGTAAGCATATTAGATCCGATAAAACTGTTTAGAGAGGTACAGACCACCTGGTTGATGTCTGTGCGATAATCCTAATCGATAGTTGAAAAAGATTTTCAGCCAGTATAGTAACAATTTATTTTATGGAGATAGATACATTCATTCTTTAGCTTCCTACAGATTCTTGTTTTTAATGTTATTTCATAATTTTTTTATCCTTAAAATCGTCTTCTGTTTTTTGAAATCATATTCAGTTAGACTATAATTTATGGACGACCCAATCAAGTTAAGGATAACAGGTCTTGGATTTTGGCGCGAAATTCATTCATCCACTTGGCTAAATAACGTTTTGACATTTTATTTGTCATTTCGTGATGAAAACCCTAAATCGGATTCCTAACACTCATCATCAACTGTAAACCATAATCCTGATTCTTCACACTGGTTTATAACACTCATTTAGCCCTATCAAGTAGGTGAGCATTCCCAAAGTCACTTTAGCATCGCTCAAAGGTCGTCCATAAATTATGGTTTCTCCTTTCGTTTTTTGTGGCCTGCTGTATTGTGACATTTCGGAGCAATGTTATAGTTGTTGCAAATATTGCACTGATTATGACTAACTTAACTACCCAATGAAATAACTAAGTGCTTATATTTTCTATTTCTAAACTAAACTCCCCTCCCCACATCCAATGACTCAAATGCCAATATTTTTATCATTGTCAAATCACCCTTTCCTGCCTGTATGTTCGTCAACTATAAGTAGGTAAATATAGGTGCTGTAACCGATTTTGTAACGCTTCTCTACCAATTAATGTTATGTTAGCCAGTCAGTCAGGCATCCTTGTATGTATAACACTAGATTTTCGGAAATATATTAGTTATTAGCATCTCCCTGGTAAATAAAAAAACATGACACCCAGGTTATTTGAAAAAATTATCACTTTCTCAAATGGAATATTTATGTATGTAACTTACTTAAGCTTCCGGTCATTTGGATTCTTCTCAATTTTGTTCTACAGGATTACGGTAAAACTCAGAGAATTGTGTTTAACTTCTGTTAGAGGGACACAGACTGGATTAAAGCATGCTCAATGCACGATTGCTTTGGTGCACGCTGATTGGCTAATTCCTGTCCAATCAGCGTTAGTCAATACTTAGTGAACACTAGAAATCTCATGTGAAAAACTATAAATACAATAACGTTTCCCCTATTGTGCTTACTTACTTCCATCTAACCTTGTTATTTGGAATATAATCTCTTTTCCTGTTCAACCGTGTTCTGATTTGGGGACTTGTTGAGCGAATCGGTGTCCGAGAATACTAAGCAATAGGAATAGGTAGGTTATAACCGTAAGAGAGAATTATAACAACTTCAAATATTTCAAGTTATAAACTAGATTTTTACTAGACCATCCTCTAGAATCATAGCAGTTCTATTTAGTTTCGGGAGAATTTAGTGTGGGTTTTTGTACTTGATGGTTAGCCTGACCACACAGTTGCCAAAACTTCATCAGATGAAGTGACTTTTGAACCAGCTACCTAATGCTTGAACGTTGTATAATATAATCATTAGTTCATCATTTCGTATTTCTCCATTTTCAACACATCCTGGTGATGGCTGTATATGAAACAATTTCTAAAATTAATGAAATATTTTTTACCAGGAGAAAGAATAACTTACTGGTGACCCTCAGCGTCCTTGAAATAACCTTAAAAGAGCACGCCGATTTCTAGCCAGTCAGAACGGAGGTGTTATAAGCGAATAATTTATTAAATAAAATCCTAGAAAGGGTTGGAATTAGAATTTGAGGTTAAGAGTTAAGACTACAGCTTAAGGTTAGGAGTTGGGGCTTAGATTAGGACCTACGAGTAATGATAGAAAACAATAGAATCATGTGTAACCACATGGATAAATACTTATGCAGCTAATTCTTTGATTGTAAGTACAAATAACCTTTAATTTACCGCGGAAAATTCATAATTTTAGATCATAGTGATTAGTTGTCCCATATTTGTGAATTCTAAGTGCCTTAGTAATTCAGCATTAATGGGTTTTACCCAGGTTTGTATACATACATTGCGTTTTGGATTTCGGGCAAAAATCCAATAATTGTTGTCTCAAATCTGATTGGTTTATCAAGTTCCTACATTAATTTTATACACCTACTTCCTTTGCGTTTTGAATGTCATCAATCTTGAACAATTAATAATCTTAAATTATAAATATAACTGAATTTATGTATGTCGATTATTTTGGGTTCCAACGAGGTAGTTTGAGTACGTTGTATTTGACACAAGATCGGAGTATAATCCTGAGGTCTTGAATATATTACACTGCTACAGTGTTCTAAACCGGAACGAAACAATTTATAAGCCATCATTGTATTGTAAATGTTATCTTTAAATATGATCTCATCTATATTATTATACACATTTTTTACAGTAGTGTCTCCAGGGTTTGCACACTTCTCATTTTACTACTCCAAAGTTTCATCAAAATGAAGAAATATGTTTTTGGCTGTTTATTATTATTATCTTCACTCTTATTATGGTAATAATAATGATATAATTATCATTACTACTTTTTAGGATGAACCTGAACCAGATTTGTTGGAATTTTTCGATCCAAACCGTCATGTCTATCAGTCAGTCAATTTACAATCGAAAGGTATACGAAGTTTGCTGCCTACCTTGCATTGTGCTTCTGATGATTTGGTCGATGTGTTCCAACATAAAATTGCATATGATTACTCTTCTTGGCTATGCGATACTTGAAATGGCTAATTGTTTGTGATTATCGGTCTCTTTTTGTTTAAGGAGGAAGGGTGGTTAATAATTGGCATCATACCCCTGATTGTACAGTATTTCTTTAAATTTTTTACACGTATTGAAATAAAATAAAGTACGGGAATGAAATAATTGTGAGAATCCATAGAAATACGTGATAAAATGATGTTTCAATGTAATGTTTTTCAGTGTTATGAGTTGTTTTGGTTTTGTGTACATCTTAACGTCTATGCCTAATCATGAACTATATCAGTTAGAACTATATATGAAACCTAGGACAGTCTATTAAAATCATAAAATCAATACGCTTTCCGTACGTTCTCGCATTTACTATTGTAAATCAGTCATTCGCATTCGCTGTTCTGTGATGTGCTCAAACGCATCAGGATCCAAGACAATTCGATAATATGTTAATTTTTACGTTATGGGATACTGGGTTCGTGCATAGGAAGTACACATCCACTCCTACAGTCATAAGTTTTAACAAACAGTCCAGAGGAATAACTAAGCAAACTTATCTTCCCAAAATTATAGCATATGGAATTTAGAACCATTAACAGAGTAAGTTTCTAAATGCCGCGTTAACTAATGTGCAGTATTAAATCAAACAATCATATACTAGTGAATTGTAAATTAATATCTCTCAGGACAAAAATGACGTCACTTCAATGTGCAAACAAGTGTGTTTATTACCTGTGTTTGGTAACGTGTACTATGTCTTATTTGTTATTCCGAAGTTTCGGTTATGTTGGTTATTACCATTTCTAGTTTGCCAATTTTCCTTCGTGTCCACAGATCATGTCTCATTTCTATGGATACTGAATTCCTCTTCTTCACGTTTGTCTTCTTTGAATATCAATGTTTCTTTACACTCTTGTCTTCTGCATGGGGTTCTGTCTTTGGGGATAATTGTCAAAGAATTGTATGTGCCCGTCGCCGTATTATGGAGTGGGGAACAGAACCCATTCTTATTCAAATAATCTCGATTGTTCGTCATTAGCAATCACTGTAGTCGCGAATCAAACTAAGTCGCAAGATTTAACGTGTTTAAACAGATCAAACCAATTATTTGATCAGAGATTATGCAATGTATAAAGTGATACGAGTTAGTAAAATGCATTGAGTTCTAATTCATTTAACCATATATTAGGTAAATTAATGATGATACAAAAGTGTATGAATGATAATATTACTAGTATTTCAGCAATATAATTGTAATTTAAATGAATACATAAGGGAGGGTTGTATATCTAATAGTCGAATCGGGTTATTTCATAACAAATATGACCATTGATTTCTTACTAATAAAGCAGTATTATTGGCCGTGTAACCAGTACTCATTATAAATGGATTCAGACGTACATCTGGGGATGTGTTTATCCATAAAGTTGTCAATGTTCACTAGCCGCGTGTGGTATCCAGCGCTCTCGGTCACTTTTCCGTTCATTTGATGACCAAGCACTACATATTAGTGCAATTCTCATGAACATATCTAGAGTAGCTCAACACGTTATACTTGTTGAAAGGTATGAATATAGTAAATGTTTTAGTGGCCCTATATTTAACACCACTTAGATCGGACGAGTGATCGTTATCAAATGATTGCTGTCGAAATATACATACTGGCTACTCTCGTATATAATGATCGACTTAAATTGCGTTGGTGAATAACGGAATTACATAAGTCATATACGGAAATGGATTTTTGAATGCATATATTTCATACCATCGTCGATCGGAAAGCCAAGCAAAACGAAATGCCGCGCAATGGAGGTGGCGAGTGAACCAACTCGATTTAACCAAACATGAACTGATATTTATAATAATTTACAGACACAATGAGTTGCTTAAGTAATTGGCACACATACGATCATATAAAAAACAGGATTAATAAGCGGATAAGTGACGGTAAAAAAGTGGGTTGAGAAGAACCAGTAGATTGATCTGTCCAGAGGCTAGAATAACCTATGTGGGTTTGAAATAGTGCCAGCCTCTACAAACAGGTTATGAAATGAGTTCTTTAACAAAAATTACACTGAAGTTCGGTACTAACCCGCTAAAAGAACCTATAAGTGATTGGAAGGGTTAAGTATAATGTACTTAATGAATATTAAAAACATTGTGAATAACTTCAGTTTAAATCTGTGTGCTCTCCTTCACACCCACATTAAGGAATATTGTTTGCTCCTGCACAATTAATAAATTATGCTTTAAATTACACAAATGCGCACATAATTTTGGAAATAAATTAATCAAACCAGTAACTGGATGACTAAAATTCAGTATCGTTAATTTTCTAAAGTGATGATGCTTTATTATGATTTCAAGAAAGATAAAACAAGTGTGACTATTCTCGTGCATAGACTTTAATCAAATAGTGATTGAATGTCTATATTTTTCGGTACACTGCTCACCCTTAAATTTAAAAAAAAACTCATCTATTGCATAATCACTTTAATAATGTTGGGTATAAAAGTTGAAGCTGACTATTTGAGATTCAAATCAGAAATATCTTAAATCTTCAGTAATACATAACTCATTCGGTTACAAAAAAGGCAATAATTCTGACGATATTCTATAAAATAAATGAGCCAATAATTCTTGACTGAATTAAGTTCATAGTAGCTTTCATTACTGAATGTTATCAACTAGAGAAGCAATGAGATTTGAAGGTTTTCAAAGAAGACAATAACGGTTGATTGATTGACAAGAAACCTACATGAGGTCAGTTACAGTCTGAACAAGTTATTGATTACGTCTCAGACTGTGAATTTGAGTGAATGGATTTCGAATCATATAGAGAGCATCAATTCCCTCTTTGTTGAGTGTATTTTTTTGCCAATTACCTCCAACCGCCTAACGTCTCAAAGTGTTGTATGCGATGTCGAGTCATTTAAACTAGTCGCTGCATCACAGTGTGATTGATCGATCCCGATCAGAACTAAAAGACTAGACAAACGAGACATTAATCACTACTCAGTAATCAATCAACAATAAACAACTCATGGAACCCAAGTTGAATAAAAATAGTGACAGATCTGATATTAAGTGGAATGAAGTGAAGATGGGTAGCTGAATTCTAAAACAGTTGTTTCAATATATTAATATTCGTAATGATAACTGAAGACGTAGTAGATTCATATTCATTGTGAACATGGTGCTTCTGATGATTCCCAAAGAAAGAATAAAACAAATACCGTTTGTGTTTCTTCGTTATCCAATAGTTCACCAGCTAACGTCGTTATGTAATAAGAATTGGTATCAAAATAAAAAACATTAGTGACCAAGAAGGACTTGATAAACATGACAACTGTTAAAAACGTATTGTAGACATCAACATTTTAACGGATCACGTTGATCTGAAAATGGCTTTTATTTAACTTAAGTTTATTCAAACACAATGAATGGATGATTTAGTCTTATTCTATTATTCCTTAGAGTATCGTTTATACAAACCACTTTCCCATGTGTACTGTGTGTACTTTTTGCTATGATATCAGTCAGAACACTGGATTTCGGTGTGATTTACATAGAAGTTCACAACAGAAGGTTTTTCAGAACTAAGTTTCATTTAAGATCATTAATTTGTCACTTTTTTCAATATTTTTTCACGCCTATTGCAGAGTTGGTTTAGATAACCCCTTCTCTTGATTTTTCATACTAAACATCAAGAACCAAATTCACTAGTGCCAAGTGGTTGAATAAAATCTGTAGAGAGAACTTCAAACTTACCTTTCGGGTTAACTACCACATGTTAGCAAAGTGGATCTGGAATATTCAGGAGACTGGTGTTCTCTGTAGAATTCGAGCGCTCGCCCTTCAGAGTTACTCCTTGGGATGTCAGCACTGAACTACATGTACTGCTACCGACCTTATGTAGGATTAATTGACTCGCATTGGTCAATGAATGCAATATATGTCTACTTCTTAGTACTGACTGAATTCTGTCAACCGATTCGTAACCAGCCTACAAACGTATTTTATTGTTAATGCTAGTTTTCTGGAAGCCACTCTGATCAATATTATAAAATTAAAAATCAATGAAACCCTCATTATGTATGTTACTTATTTACTATTGTGGCTCTGTTGAGTACAGTTTAAAAGCATAAAAAGTCCAAGTGATATTCATTTTGAATTCCTTCGAATCATATAATACATGTAGCCAACTAGATGTAAGTACATCAACGAAAATGTATCAGTAACAATAATTGATTATCGAAGAGTAAACACTATGGTTTTATCTAACGTTTAGTATTGAGTGAATTGTATTGACTAAATTAACGTTGTTTTCATAAATTTCGGTTATAAGCTACCGTTTAACCTTTATTTTAAAGATAAGATGCTGAGTAGTTGTGACTTGAACTAACAAAGTATCAAATTGACAAATAAAATAACGAAATGTTACATAAACAAATAAACACCCTAAGATAAATATAATGGCACGAATTGTTTATAATAAAGTGTAAGTCTAGAAGTTGTAGTATATGGGGTTATAATAGGTCACACAATAGGTCAAATCAGTTAGTCAAATAAATAATGTACTGGTTTCATTGAGGTTGGAGTTTACTTTTAAATTAAATAATAATAGAAACAGTCTAAAAAATGTACTGGATATTGGATATATAGTTGCACAAGATTATATTTCATTTCTTCAGCATTAAACAACATTGAACATATTGTCAATAAAAAAATATTATTTGATTAGGTGGTCAGTTTAGTTTGATAGATCCCAGGTCATTCTCTGATGGTACAGTTTAATAAGATTTAAATTCATTATTGAAAGAATTACTTCTCCCATTAGAATTCTAATATATGTCATCATGTGTTACATTGACATTGAGCCATTCAGAGGGCATCTAACCTAATTTGAGATTGATGAACTTCTTGTCGATTATCACTCACTATCTAAAATCAAAAATAATGTACTGTGTGGTCAAGTCACTTTTTATGTTGTCGATCTACAACTTGATTAATAGAAGCTCGAATAGCTCAGTAGAAACATTTCAACTTTCACGGTGGTTTGAATCTTATGAGAAACACGAACTCCTTTATGGTTTTAGATTTATAGTTTTAATAAGTAGCATCTAGCGGCAAAACGTAGGTTTAGGGCTTTTTACTAATTATGTGCAAGACTATAGCTAAATTGTAAGTGTATGAAGCTCTGTCAAAACATGAACATTCGTCGGCATAGTAATCAAAACATTATTTATTGATTTATTATTTTTTTTGACTACACTTACTGTCAGTTGAATTTAACATTTTAGAAAAAAATGATCCCTATAACTTGGAGGGATTGTGTTCTAACCGATAAAAGTTAATCAACATTATAAACTAGACAAACATGACATTATAAGTATTCAGTGATCAATCATGTGTGAATATCTCAGTTCTATGAGATGTTGTTTATGATTTAAACTGCTCAGCTATAACATTCCCAAATATGACATAGGGTGATACAGATTTTAATCTCATTTAAAGAATCAATCCCTTCAATTTGACAGATATCTCTTATGGATAGGTGTCAACTAATGTAAAACGAGGTCCTTGAAATGACTCTCAACTGTATTCAACAAGATAGCTATTATCCTTGTAGCGTATCAGCTAAGCGTTGATAGTTGTTAGGCCACATTTGATCAAGCATTACATTGATTTAATTTGACAGCTTATACATTTGTTTTCTATAATTATAGAACATCATGGAGAATAAAAGAGACAAGTGATTAACTTCGTATTTTTTTCACCAATATTATTGATGTATTACTATGAATGTGTAGTGACCTACTTTTATCAAGAGAACGCGATTGGTTTAATGGAAACAATTATTATTATAACCA